TAACCGAGATTTTTGATTTTGCTTTGTGAAAATATATTGTTTGGGCTTGTTGATGTTGACTTGAGTTTGAAGAGGATCATATTGAGTCCAACATTGTTCATTGTTACAAAAGATCCAACTTCAAACCTTTGCGTGCTAAGTGTTCGATAAATTGCCGTAGAGACTTTTCACATGGGCAAGACTCCAATACGTCCCGCTAAGAAGAAAACCACCCAAGAGGCGGCCAAGAAGCGAAAAGCGACATCATCCTCGTCCCGTGATGCCCTTCTGGAAGGTCAACGGGATGATATCTCGGACCAATACGGTGCTCTCTTCCCAATTTATTCGAGAAAGGAGGGTGAAATTTATGCCCGCCTCTCGCAAAAAGAGGTGGTAAGGCCAAAAGCAGTGGATTGGGACCTCCTCAACGACCTAGGTATTCTTGAGGATGTGATGAAGTACCTTGAGGTCCTCAACCTTACCGAGTACGCCAAGATCGAGGAGAGTTCGTATCGAAGCCTCATGCTTGAGTTCTATAGCTCATTTGTTCTCGCCGACGGGAACGAATACTTCACTTGTCGACTAAAGGGGAAGGACTTGACAGTGGACAATGTCGTGATGAAGAATGTTTGCGGGTTCACCATAGCTGGGATGCGAAGCAAGGCCATCGAGTTCGATGCTAAGAGGAGTTGGGCCGAGCTTTCCCCGCATACGACTTGGGATTCCGGCGGCATGTCCAACCGCCTTATTCAGGACCTGGCCACTGCCGTTGTGCACAGGTTTATCTGTTATAACATTTCTGGGAAAAAAGAAGCAAACAAAGTCAGTGAGGTCGAGTTGTTTCTCCTATGGGCGATGAGGGCGGGTGTGCGAGTGTGCTCTATGACATTCCTGCAGAACACCTTAGAAAAGATTGCACTCAATCGGCGTGGAGCACCGGCACTTGGTCATTTTGTTACCGCACTCGCCAAACATTTCGATATCGATCCTATGGCCTACACATTGCACGAAGATACGTGGGGACCAGACAAGACTCAGATGCGATGTATTAATTTTAATGAGCTCAAGCAGGCTGACCTCATCAAGAACCGCACCACAGCTCAGGAGTATACGAAATGTCAGGCTTACGAGACCTATTTCAAAAAGCTCCGGCAGAGTGCGCCCAATTCCGATCAGCCAGGCTCGTCTCGGCAGCCGACAGACGGAGACGAGCATGAGCAAATGAACGTCGACGATTCTCATTCCCTCCCACATCCACCCATATGCACACCCCCGATCCCACAGCCCGAGATTCCAATCCAACAGCCACCGGCATGGTGGTCCACTTTTCAGACTCAGTACACGTCCGACATCCGCTCTATCCACGACCGCTTCGACAGCCTTAATGATGATCTCTGGTCTATTCGCGAGCGGCAGGAACAACAGGATGCTCGGATGGGCATCTTGGATCAGTGGTTCACCCAGTGGGACACCCGTTGGACCTCGGAACCCAGTCAGCCTTTCCCCCCTCCACCACCACCACCTTCGGATAAACAATGACTTTTCACTGTGCTTTGAATGTTGTTCGCACGTTTTCATTATGTTCTATCCTAGTTTATGAATGTTGTTCGCACTTTTGAACTCCAGAACATATTCGGATAGTTATTTTCGGATTCGTTTTGCACTAGGATTTTGACTTTGAACCTTCGTATTAATCGTAAGCTTCTATTTTCGTTTTATTAATGAATGTCTTGGCTTTCTTTAATATGAATGTTTGTGTTCAGATCGCTATGAGTAACTAAATCCTCTATCTAGGGTTAGGGGATTGTCGTAACAGGTTTCGAAATTTGCACCAGGTTTCTTGCCAAGAAACTGGTTTCTTGCCAAGAAACTGGTTTCTTGAGCGAAAAGCTGGATTCTTACCAAGAAACTGGTTTCTTGCCAAGAAACTGGTTTCCTGCCAAGAAACTGGTTTCTTGAGCGAAAAAACTGGTTTCTTGCCAAGAAACTGGTTTCTTCAGCGAAAAACTGGATTCTTACCAAGAAACTGGTTTCTTGCCAAGAAACTGGTTTCTTGCCAAGAAACTGGTTTCCTGCCAAGAAACTGGTTTCTTGAGCGAAAAAACTGGTTTCTTGCCAAGAAACTGGTTTCTTGCCAAAAAAACTGGTTTCTTGCCAAGAAACTAGTTTCCTGCCAAGAAACTGGTTTCTTGAGTGAAAAAACTGGTTTCTTGCCAAGAAACTTGTTTCTTGCCAAGAAACTGGTTTCTTGAGCGAAAAAACTGGTTTCTTGAGCGAAAAACTGGGTGATTGCTCAAGAAACTGGTTTCTTGCCAAGAAACAGGTTTCTTGCCAAGAAACTGGTTTCTTGAGCGAAAAAACTGGTTTCTTGCCAAGAAACTGGTTTCTTGAGCGAAAAACTGGGTGATTGCTCAAGAAACTGGTTTCTTGTCAAGAAACAGGTTTCTTGCCAAGAAACTGGTTTCTTGCCAAGAAACCAGTTTCTTGAGCAATCACCCAAAATTTGTGAAGGTACCTGTGAAGGTACCTATTCATCGCCGTGGCCGCGACCAAGAACTCCTCCGCGGCCGCGACTACCATCCGCGGCCGCGAGACGCATCCGAGGCCGTGATATATTTTGCGCTGAACTTGAAATCTGGGACCCAAAAAATACTCGTCGCGGCCGCGGCTATGAAAAACCCCGCGGCCGCGACCACTTATTTTTTTTTCCTTAATTTTATTCATTCAAAATTTTAGGGACTTCACACACTTCACTTCAATTTTCAACCATCTTAAAAATAACTACTACAAACATAACAAAACTACACACATCAGTATGTCCCACAAAGTTATTACATTAACCACACACAAATCAATCATACAAATTACAACCCAATTATGTCTTCCCACATAGAAAACATTCATTTACGATCCATAAAAAACAACATATAAATGGAAAAAAAAGCATATAAACTAGGTAATGTTTTGAGGACACTTGTTCCTACGGTGGCCAGGTTGCTTACATTTACCACACAAACGAACTTTGGTAGTCGGACGTCCAGATTGAATTGGTTGCTCAACATTTTGGACTAAGGCAACACAAGTTGTAGAGTAATGCCCACTTTCGTGGCATCGTGTACAAAATGATTTACTTCGAGAGCTCGAAGAAGGGCCAGTAGAAGGTATGCGGTTTGACCTCGGTCTTCCGGCTTGCTTGGGATTAATAGGACATTTGACAACCATCAAACTAGGTGATGTAGTTAAGTCCCAAGTACTTGGATGCGCAATTGGCATGATTATGGGCTCGTAAAGTTTGCGCCATGTTGTGGTCTTGTAGTAGTCGTGCACATATCCATACACCGATTCGTTTGCCTTCCTAAAAATGGTACATGCATAGAAAACAAATTAAAGGAACACAATATAACAATATGTACGTAAACGTTGCAGCTTCTAATAAAAAAAAAAAAGGATGAAAAAATTACCCGATAGCCTTAATCGCATGTGAACAGGGCAATAAATCCACCTGAAAGAGATAACAAGTGCATGTCCAATCATTCAAATTGACAACAAAATTCTTGACACCGTCCTTCACGTGGTAAATGTAGTGATTGATATTTGAAGCTTCTATTTGGTCTGCTGCAGTTTTATAATCCATTAAACGCTTAGATATTGATGGAGGAACTTCACACTCAGTCTTTTCTGTCTCGACACGTGTTTTGTGAAACCACTCTTGCATAATGTTTCGAATACATTCAAATAATGAGCAAACAGGCAATTTCCTTGCCCAACGCAACCTATTGTTAAGCACCTCACAAGCATTTGACGTCATGAAATTATATCGTCTAACAGGACATTGACTTCGTGCCCACCTTGTTGGAATGGCTTCATCAATCACAACTTTTTTTGTGTTAGGATATTTTGCCGCAAGCATGGCCATCGACTTCTCGTACACAACAGGAGAATAAGTGTATGAAGCTTTTATATATAAACCAACAGCTTTAGACCCGTGACTTCGAATATTTTGTCGAAGGTGGTAGGAACATATGGCATGTACGGCTTCAGGGTAGACAACCTCCATAGCAGACTTTATGCTCGGGTGGCGATTGGAAACAATTACTAAATTTTCCGGACATCCGAAAGTGGAGCGAAGCTTTTGGAGAAACCACATCCACGCACTATGACATTCCTTATCGCCGATACCAAATGCCAAAGGGAAAATTTGTTCATTTCCGTCCTTTGTAGTTGCTACAAATAAGATGCCTTTATACTTACCCTTCAGATGCGTACCGTCAATCACAATAACAGGCCGACAATAACTGAGGAAGCCTGCAGACGCGTTAAAAGAAATGAAAGCATACTTAAACACGTCATCTTTATCAGTCTCAATGTATGCCGATGTTCCAGGATTTTCCTTCATCGACATATGAAAATACGCCGGCAAAAGTTCCCAGGATTTCTTATGATCTCCATAAATGAAGTCGTAGGCGGCGTTTTGAGACCTCAGAGCTGTATCATATTTTAGCTTAATGCCATGATCATGCTCCATGTCACCCATAATCTCTACAGGCTTTAATACTCGGCCCTCTGTCAACAACTTCGGCGCGAATAATGCTCCAATGATCTTTGCAGGCAATTGTCGAGGGGCTGAATGATTTAGGTTAACTGAGCATGTATATGGATGGATAAATTTTGAAATTTTCCAACTACCTCCAGTCAGTGCATTCGCAGAAAGCAAGAATGGGCAATTTTTATGCTTGCACACAACCTATAACCGAGAATTTGAAGATCTCGGTGTTCGGAACTCCACTTTATGCTTCAAATGGTATAAACCCACTTTTACCAACAATTCTTCCTTACTTTCAATGACAACGCCTTCGGCTAATTCACGATATATCATTGACGGCTCTTCAGACGAAGGATGAACATCAACGTTGTGAAAATTGGCTTCGGGAATCCTCCAACCGCTACTCGAACGAGTAGCGATTTCATTCAAATCGGCCTCTTCAATAGCAACCCCTCCAGAAAGGTCAAGCCGAGGAACATTGTGGATCACTATACTCTTCTTGTTGCGTAAAATATGCTCATTTATACCACCAATCATGTTTGAGGGCGACACAACATTGTCGTCGATATCTTCATTTTCTTCAATTATGAAGTCCGGATCATCAATGTTATCATCCATCTCATTTAGGAGATCATCATTGCAAGGATCATCACCTTCATCATCACCTTCATCATCAACTTCATCATCACCTCCATCATCAAATTCATCATCAACTTCATCATCATGACCTTCACCATCACCTTCATCATTCCCAGTTGAATACCCATTGAACCCGCTATCCACACCCCAATCGACATGTTCGGGAGAATATCGTGAGGCACCGGGTTGATTTGATTCTACCCTTTTAGAGGTGTCAGGCACCATGTTGTCATTGTTCCCCGGATTACATGTTGATGGTTGACTCATTATAGGTGGATACACAGCACCATATGGATAGAGAGGTGGGCTCTGAGCAGCAAATAAATTCATAAACCCACCTGGATAGCCATACGAAGGGTACATTGGTACACTCGCCTGAGTATACAGACTTGGAGTATGTTTCGGCTGTAATGTGACATAGATGGTAGGTATTGTGAACATGGCAGACACATTTCGCATATATGATTCACAAGAGATACGCCATTTCTCTACCTCTCCGTTATCACCGGCCATTAAAAAGTGACATCGATAGTCGCACATGTTTCTATCTCCACGAACAATGTCATGAACCCTATTCATGAAAGCTTCGTATGATGACGTCCTAAGACATAAAAAATTCATTTCCGTTTCTCCATTTTTGTACACATTCCCATCCCAAAAACCACTGTGAACAATTCGCACTTTACCAACGTCCATCTAAAAAAATTAAATAAATAAAAAGAATCTTAATATAAAATTCATAAACAGTTTCTTACGAGCAAGTTAATTGAGCAAAAAAATATGCTACATCTTGTTTAAGAAACCGTTTGATGCTCAAGAAACCTGTTTCTTGACAAGAAACGAGTTTTCTTGTCAAGAAACTGGTTTCTTGTTCAAGAAACCTGTTTGATGCTCAAGAAACGGGTTTCTTGCTCAAGAAACTGCGTGTTGAACCGGACAAAATTCTTTCTTGTCCTTTCTTGTTCAATAAACCGTTTTTTGTTCAATAAATTGTTTATTCTTCAATAAGAGATTCTTCAACTCCTAAAACTCCAAATAAACGGCTCAAGAAAATTTACAACAAAAGTAATAAACTCTAACACACGACCCCTCTTTTCAAGCACAAAAAATCGAATTTTTTAACTATAAATAAATATTATTTCAACAAAATACAATGGTGCAACATGAATCAATAATGTTGGGAACAAAAATATAAAAATCTATTTTGAATTTTTTTTATTTAACATAATAAAAAAAAAAAATTAGGTTTAGGTCAATGTACCTTTTTTCTTCTCAAAAAGGGA